AGTAGGAGGATGACTTAGCAATGCAAATATTACCCACTCAGCCAAACACCCAATATTCTTGCCAAATGATGAACATTTTGTGAAAATTTTAATATCGCATTTTCATGTTCAAAATCTGCATGCTGGACCTCAAGCTCTCTTAGCAACTCTGCGTCAGCGATTTTGGATTACGAATGGTCGAGCAATTGTGTCAAAAATCGTTCAAAAATGCATACGCTGTTTCAAATTCAGACCGAAGTTGGCAGAACAAATTATGGGTAACCTACCTAAGTACCGAGTCGAATTAAATCTAGCTTTTTTGGTCAGCGGAGTCGATTTTTGTGGACCTGTTATGATTTCACCAGGTGGACCTTTAAACGCATTACCAGAACCATTGCGTAACGAAGACGTCAACATAACATCTTTAAAACGTTTTCATCGTATTGCATTTCTACAACAAAAATTCTGGTCTCGTTGGTCTAAGGAATATCTAACCACACTTCAACGCAGGAATAAATGGTCCTCTCAAGCAAGTAATTTAACAATGGGTACACTGGTTTTGATTGGCGATGACAACTTACCTCCACAACATTGGGCAATTGGCAAAATTGTAAGGTTGTATCCTGGCTCTGATAATAATGTGCGAGTTGTCGATGTTCAATGCCGTAACAAAATCTTTAGGCGACAAATACATACATTAGCACCACTTCCACTGGCTGATTGAAAGTTTCTTTCCCAGGAACTTTCAAAGGCGCCGGCATGTTAATACTTGATTTAGCAATAATTATTTTGTTATAATTTTTTTGGATTGATTTCGACAGTTCATTGTAACTTTACATTTTTTCTAATATATTCTAATACTGTTTAACTCATTTTAATAAATTTATATGTAAGATTGTATGTGTATACATGTATGTAAATTTGTAATTTTCGAATTTCTTATTTTCTCTTGCATTTTTTTCTTACTGTATTATAAATTCTCTTAAACTTAATTTTACTGTTTTTTGAATTAACATTAGCAATGTCTTAAATTCTAAAATTTTTCATTCGCAAAAACACTGTCGAATCGATCGAACATAAAATTGGTGGTATTAAATATAATTAGTTGTCGAATTATAATTCATTTTTTTATTTTATTTGTATAAGTAATTTTCCGTGTCCTATTTTCAAAAAATTATTATAAGCTTAGAAACACCCTGGCTAAATTAAGCCAGAGTCAAAACAGTAAGAGCTAGAAGATATGTAAAAATTTTTCATATGTAAAAATTTAAATATATAATTTTTAAATTTAATTCCAATATTATATTTTTATAGTATATGTATAGTTTTGGTTAAAATGATTCGTAATAAACTCAACAAAAATAACTAGTTAGTAAATAAAATAATTTTAATTGGCAATTATATGTACATTTACATATTCCGCACTTTTAAATTCTTAAATGATTTCATTAAGTTTATATGTCTTGTAAGTATGCATAAATATCTGTATGTGTATTTCAAATTTAATTTTGAATTTACAAACTGAATTGCTATTTTATTAAAATTGTAAATTTGAAAATTAATTTATAAAATATGTTCCATTTCTTTAAGTTAGATATGCATTTACTTTACTCAATAAGTAATCTGTATAAGCTGCGTGAGTTGTATTTATATAAGCATACACGCATATGCTTATATAAATATATGAATATATGTATATATAAGTATATTTATATATGCTTATATACTAATTTGTATATATACTTATTCATCTTGGGTATGTGACAAAAACGAATTAACTAATAACTGAAAAAATAATACTGTAATGCAGTTAAACTGATTTTGACAAATGTCTGATATAAATATAATTATGTGTATATATTTATGTTTTATACATGATATATGTAATGTAGATATATAATGTAAAAAATATACATATATATGTATATATATATATATATATATATATATAAATATACATATTTATATAAATATAGATATATATAGTATTAAATTAATTTATCAATGCAAGTACGTTTAAATAATAATATTTAAAACTTTAATTAAACAAATAAAAATTTAAAATTAAAAAAAAAAATTAGGTTTTTTAATTTTAAATTTGTTGTCAAACCACTCGAATAAAGTTTTCATTGAGTTCATTGCGTTTCTCTTACTTTGCTTAAAAGGCTTTCAAAGGAAGTGCAGTTATCATTGGGCCAGTTTTTTACAATTTATATATATAGATTTAATGTATCTTGTATAATTTATATAATGGATTTAATGTATGTGAATGAACATGAACATATTTGACAGTTTTTATTCGAGTGTGACGAATAATTTTTCATAATTAACTAAACGTTAATTCTAGATACGTACATTCAAATGTGAATGTAAAATTTATTGCTTCAAACACAAACCCCCTAACTCGAAATAAAACAAAAATGAGTTATGCATATAATTCAATTTTTCATTTCTCGTTCTGTATTCTCACAAAATATGGTTATGCTACGATTATTATAGCCGAAGTTATTGCGAATTTATATATCACCTAAGTTGAAACGTGTAGCAAATAGTAGTTATGTGCAAAGGCAATAATTGTCTAAATATAGTTAAGAGCAGAAAACATCTTATTTATGTTTTTTTAAAATCTTATTGCCAATCAAATTTAGTGAAAAATTTGTTAATATAAGTATAATAATTTATACAGCTGTCTATTGCAAAATTAATTTGATAGTCGTGTTAATCATTATCACTGTATTACAAGTAAAGAAGTTATTTGAAAATAATTCTATTATTGTTCTTTAAAAAAGTTTCGTACATTATAAGCTTATAATGTTTAAGGAAATAAATTTTAACCACAAATTGTTCTTATAAAAGTACATTATTAGAAAGTTAGAAGAATTACTTAGGTATTCTAATCGCTATTAAGGTGTCTAGTACATATGATATTATTATCAGAGTATATATTTCCAAATTCTAACTTTTCAATAACAATTACAATCAGTATAAAATTCTACTCGTAGTTTCAAATTGAAATCTCTCCATTAAGTAAAAGGGAAATTTTATATGAAAAATTATTTGATATAATTTTGAAATTCCCCTTTAAAGTATTGTAAAATTTATTCCCATATACTTACATATACGAGTATACAAAAAATTAACCAGAACTAAACTTGAAACCCATATTTTGTACAATTGTAATAAAAGAATCGGAAATTTTGAACTTTTTGAACTATTTTTGTTTTTTTTATAATACTTAAGTAAAAAAATTATTAAAAAAATTTTCATGATTTCAAGTAAACGCAAAAATATTAGAAATGAAGATATATCTTTAAAAGTGCGTTTCTCTGGTGATCAGGTGATGTTTTTTATATAAAAGTATAAATCAAATTCGTAGCATTAATTAAAATTTTTATTAAAGTATGAATTACTTTAATAATATTTATAAAAGTATTCATCAATTAATAAAACATTTTATTAATATTATGAAATGTTTTATTAATTTCTAGCGTGACAAGTGAAAATATTTATTTGTAATATTTATGAATTGTTTATTAATTAATAACTCTTTTTATTAATATTACGAAAAAGTTTATTCATTTCTAACGGGAGTTGCAAAATTGTCTCTTTTCTTGAATAATTTGGTTTAGTTTTACTTTGTCTTTGAAAAGTGGTGTTTGTAAGTGAAGTGATCTAAGTTTTTTTGTTTCAAATAACAATATAAGAAGTTTTGAAATATAATTAATAATAAAATAATTAGAGATATAATTCATTTTTAAGAAGTATAATTAAAATTTTTATTTAGTTTCGTAAAACAATAAGTTTAATAAAGAAAATTTTTAAATTAACCCTGGTTAAACTCTGGAAACTTCTCTGGTAAGTACAGTTTTCTAGAAAAAATTATATTTGATATTATATGTATTTCTTTTGCTAATAAATTTTATCTCGTTTACAAATAATTTTTTTTTCGATTAAATAATAATTTACCAGTAATTTTTATAACAATGACTTGTTTCAAATATAACAAGATATATTTGTTCTTCAACTAAAATTCTTATTCACGTTATAGATGAATGGAAGGTTATTCCTTTCAAGCTTTTCAAGGTTTAGATATAGTTTTAAACGACATATAAACAGAAATTATCAGCAAAATATCACTAAATTTGTTAATGGGATCACTCTTAAATTAAAGCATCATATGTTGACGCATTATCCAATCATTTTTAAAAAATCAGGACCACTTAGAAACTTTTGGTATTTTAAATATGAAGCAAAACATAAATTCTTTTAAAATTTACCGTCATGCAATCACCTCAAGGAAAAATATATGTGTAACATTGGCAAAAAAGTATCACTTAACTTAGAAAACTCTTTTTTTATCACAGCCTGAATAGAATTCGAGCAATTTTTGTTATTATGAAGTTAAGGAATATTCAAGCAGTTACTGCAACATAATCAGCAACATTTTTAAAGTACCTGTAGAAGATATGAAATGCTTTCGTGTCGTTACATATGATGGAATTAATTATAAATTCGGTTTTATGTTGTAAAATTTAGTTTCGGTGTTGTTATTTTGTCAAAAACTTATTGCTGTTGAGTATATGCCAAATGTGTTAGCTTATAGTATTTTAGATAAAATACTTGGAGAATGTTTAACTATATCTGTTGAAGAACTAGTTGGACCGCCTTTGAATTCAATGAAAATATGTGACTGGAAGAGTGTGCTTCGTATCAAAGAATATTATTATGTAAATTTAAGAAATTAAACTATGCAGTTTGCTTTCAGTTTACTCACCTTATATTTAAAAACAAAAAGTAAAAACTACAAGTATGATTATACATTCGTTATGTATATAACTTATATAACGAATAAAAAGATTTTCATAATCCTGCAGTATTGTAAAAACTTAATTGATTGATTTCTTATTTTAGCATATTTATTGATTAAAGTCAAAACTAAAATGGACAAAGACTCTTAAATAAAAGTTACGGATTCCATTACTGTCAACAAACAGATATCATCTTCAGCAACTGATAGCATTGCAAAAATCGCTTATGTTCTTGTAGACGTGCCATCAAAGGAACCCAGAATCAAGGACTGGCGACAAGGAAGGAGACAAGAAAGAGGGAAACCGGAAGATAATATTATAAGTAATTTATTTTTTTAATTTAGTTTTTAAAATTTTCTCTTTAATTTTATATTAAGTAACATTAAATAATAATCATATAATGTCACATATATACTTTTAGAACAAAAACTTATATCGATGTTTTAAAAGCAATTAAATTATATCACCTTGAAACCTGATGAAAGATTATCCAATTGTAATTATTCAAGTTTTATTCGAACATAACTTGAAAAAATGGAGACGTTCAACAGGAGCAGAAAAAAGGACTAATTGTTTAAAGGAAAGTGAGGTGAATATAATTAGATATAAACTTTGACGGATTGATATTTTTTTATGCACATTTCATGTACAAATAGGTTAATGTTACATATGCAAAGTATTATGCACAATGTGTATATTATTCTGTATAAATATATAATATTATAATTGTATATAACTGTATATAATTTATAACTAATTATATACACATATTTTGTATATGAAAATATTCACATTTCTCAAAATTGTTTAATTTTAGCATTTGTATATTATCATTTCTTAGATGTGCTTGTAACTAACAATTTTTTTTTAATTTTTTAGACAGTAAAAGTGCTGCGTTATTATGGTGTCTTCATGCTTATTTAATCCCAATTAAGGGAAATGTTAACTTAAGCCAGTCCGGAAAAAAAGTAAAAACAAAATATACTACAAAAGATTTTTTAAAATGCTTTTCTATTTATTGGAAAATCCGTTGGTGAAGTAGAGGACAAACTTCCCTTCTTAAAAGAAAAGTCTTTGAATGTTCAACTTTTCATAATTGGAATTGGTGAAAACGTTATGTCTCTCCGAGAAATTTTTGTATATTTCGATGACATAGAATATTATTTGAAAAATTTTGTTAGAGATACTGACATTACTTTTAAGATATTTTATTTATTAAACTTAGAATATTCTGCAATAATATTAAAAATAAAAATTAATTTTCGAGAAACCAAATTTTAATGTAAGAGCTAGAAGATACATATGTAAAAATTTAAAATGTCAAATTTAAAATTCAAAATTTTCAAATTAAATTACAACTTTTTAAATTCCAATATTATATTTTTATAGTATATATATTGTTTTGGTTAAAAGGATTCGTAATAAACTCAACAAAAATAACTAGTTAATAAATAAAATAGTTTTAATTGGCAATTTAATGTATATTTACATATTCTGCACTTTTAAATTCTTAAATGATTTCATTAAGTTTATGTGTCTTGTAAGTATGCATACATATCTGTATGTGTATTTCAAATTTGATTTTGGATTTTAAAACTGAATTGCTATTTTATTAAAATTGTAAATTTGAAAATTCATTTATAAAATATGTTCCATTTCTTTAAGTTACTTATATAATTTACTCAATAAGTAATCTGTATAAGCTGCGTGAGTTGTATTTTATGCATATGTTTTCATTTGTATATAAATACATACAATACACACATGCATATGTTTATATAAATATATGAATATATGTTTATATAAGTATATTAATATAAGCTTATATACTTATTCATCTTGGGTATGTGACAATAATGAATTAACTAATAACTGAAAAAATAATATTGTAATGCAGATAAACTGATTAAAATTTTAAAAGTAATATAGGTTGACACATTTCAACAATTTTAATTATCTCATTTCGGTTATTTATACGTTACTTATAAAATTGTTTCAAATAATTTCTGTTAGTTTTTAAGTTATTAAAAATAAATATGTATGTACCTACTTCCAATAAATTTTTTTTAAATAATTATTTTAAAACTATTTCAAACATGTTATATTGAGTGCTTCAAAAATTTTGCTGTGCTCTTTTTTCATATTTTATTAGCAGGTAAACAAGAGTAATCTATTTATAAAATGTCCCTGCATGTGTATGTATGACTTATCTTAATTCTAAACGGAAAGAATATTACATAAAGAACAAAAATTTTAAAATACCTGTTATTTTACAGTCGGAATTTTTGAGTCATTTGGTAAAATACCATTTATTTCAAAAATAAAAAAATATTCAAATCCGGTCATAAAAATATATGATTGTTTTTTCCAAACATTTTAAATATTTTTTTTTCTTAGGTAATTGATATAAATGATAGTAAGTTTTTAATATTTTTTCAAATAAAAATAGAGGTAAAATTTTGAAGTTTATATAAAATTTGTATTTAACAAATAGTATTTGATTGTATTTTCGATATTATTTTCTAATTCCCTCTTCAAATTTTTTCTTTACTATGTATTCATATCAATATTTAATAATTATCTTTCATTAATTATACTTTCAACTTGACAATACAGTTACTTCCAATATCTTGAGTTAGCTTATCCTATTAAAAAAAAGGCTGTTCAATTAAAAACAATGAAATGCTTTCAGTAACATATAAAACGTTGAAGGCGAAGGTTGTGCTTGTTGTTTTTCCGCTTTTTTTAAAATTTTAAAATAATTATCAATGAAAATATTAATATATTTTTTTGATTTTTCAAATATATTTTCTAAATTTTACCTGCTTTATGATAAGTGTGAATTTATTTTAATATTTCTTCCCAAAAAATAGCCACTTCGATTTAAAAAAACCCCTATAAAATAAGGTCGTGCTTTCAAGTTTCCCTCTGAGTATTGGGACTTGTTAGATATAAAGACATTAAATACACAAATAAAATAATGAAGCGACTATACAGCCGCAGCGAAAAACAGTTTGATTGTTTTTTATTCTATTTTTTAAGAGCTTTTTACCATTTAAATAGTATTCCGTGTTAAAAATATATCATTTTTCTCACTTGATATTGTTGTTACAGTAGGGGAAGTAAAATTGAAAAGAAGAAAAAAATCTCGTGAAAAGAGAAAAAGAATTTGCTTATTTCTCATTTCTTCTCATGCAAAATTTCTTATATTTTTTTTATTTTGAAATAAGTAGTCTAATTACCAAAGTTTATTCTTTTTTTTGTTTTCAATAGTATTTATTATTTTGAGACGAAATTATAAGAGAGATTTTAATGTTTCATTCAGTTGGCGTGATACCATTGCAAAAATTTTTTTATAAAATGCAAAAGAAAGAGAGTCAGAAAGTCAATCAGTAAAATATGATCCGATACGAAATTTTCAATTTAAAAAAGGTTTTAATTTTTTATTACTAATACGTATATTATATACATATGTTCGAAACATTTTTTTTTTTATTTTTTAAAAATTAATATTTAAAAATTTTTTCATTTCCTATTTTTTTTTTTTTTGAAAGTAAAAACATTTTCAAACAATATATTTAATTTTTTATTTCTTAAAAAAAATAAATATTTTTGAGTACTCATATTTTTTATTTAAAAAAAAAAGAAAAAATACAAAACAAAACTTAAAATCCATAAGTTCTATGTTCTATTTACTGAAATGCCATATTCAACCCTTATTATTTAATTAATTTTAATACAGCTTAAAACTTAGTTTTTCAAAACAGCTTACAGCTTAAATATCCAATATTCATTATTTTAAAAATATGGATACCTATTTTTACCGACCGTATTGTGCAAACAATAGGTAGGTTATGTGATGGCAACAAATTTTGCATATCGAGTTTTCGGTGGGAACGTACTTCTCCATAGTAGGGAAGTGTAAATAAACTATTTTTAGCAACCTGTCGGTCTGTCGGTCTGCCGGTCTGTCGGTCTGTCCGTCTGTCGGTCTGTGTGTGAACGCGTGTAACTCAAGTTCGGCTGAACCGATTTTGATGAAATTTTATATGTAAGTTTGTTTCCACCATGGCACGGATCGATCAACTTTTGGTATATATCAGGCCTCGGGAACTGCACTTTTTAGCGGGCCTGTTTTACATTTTTGAACATTTTGAAGAAAATATTCAACCGATTTACTTGAAATTTTATATATAAGCTCTGCTCGATCATACGCAAAAATTCGTAACTTTTGGAAGAAATCAGGCATCAGCAACTGGGCGTTTACTACAGGCCAAATATACATTTTTGTGTATATAAAGAGAAATAATCAACCGATTTCATTGAAATTTAATATATGAATTCCCCGTATTAAAACAATGAACATGTAAATTTTTTGGAAAGATCAGGCATCGGCAACTAGACGTTTACTACGGGACAAACATACACTTTTGTGTATATAAAGAGAAATAATCAACCGATTTCATTGAAATTTAATATATGAATTCCTCATATTAAAGCAATGAACATATAACTTTATTGGAAAGATCAGGGCTCGAGAACTGATTTGCGGGCCGATTTTACATTTTTCACCATATCCACAGAACAAATTGATGGAATTTCTTGAAATTTGATATTTGAGTTCTGGTTGTTACCGAAACTAACTGGCGAGCATTTCAGGGAATTCGGGTAGCACAAAGCGAAACTCTACTAAGAGCCAAATTTACATTTTCCTAAGTATGTTAACTACAAGCTTACTAATGTCCTAAAAATTGGAAAGAAGTATTTAACAGACATTTTTATAATGTTCTGTAACACTTTCATTTAACTAGACAATACACAATGCGGACGGTTATGTGCTGATCACATCAGATTTTTTAATAAACTTTCATCAGCTTGTGAAATTCTGAGTTTATAAAATGAGATCTCATTTACATTTTTTAAATACGTCTCATAAAGAGAAATACTATATTGTAAAAATATTGATTTTGTCCACTAAAATAAACTCTAAAAAAAAAAAAAAAACAGCTTTATGTTCACTAGATCAAAAAAAATATTTCTTATGCATTTTAACTTCTACAGCGAAATTTATAAGCGAATTAAAACGATGTTGCAAAACAGAACTCTTTTTATTTTCTTCTTTTGTATACTAATGAGAGAACGCTTTATCGCTTTAAAATAATTTAAAAAATCATGTAAAGAAAACAAAAAAATCGCTGCAAAAATTTCGCAGATTACTTCTTTTTGTTTTTCGTTTATATTTGGTTTGTGTAAGAAGTCTATATGACAAAATATGTTTACTTTAAATGAGAAGCTATATCATATGATGTGTTTTCTGTTTTTTATTTTGCGGTGAAATCCATATTTTTACGATAAAGTATTTTTCTTTATGAGATGTTTTAAAAAACTATGAATGAGATCTCATTTAACGAAAAGTTTCAAACGCTGATTAAAATCGTTAATTGCATTTATAAACTCGTTTATTAATTTCCAAAAATGCCAATTTTATTTTTATGATTTTTTTCATTGGGCCAACGAATTATTAATTACTTAATGAACGCAGTTTATTAAAGTATAAACTGCATTAATTGTCGGAATTAACGCGTTCATCGGCTGAAAATAATGTATATTTCATTAAATTTACCACCATTTTAATTAATATTATTAACTTTTTTTTTCAGTGTAGAAAGGCTAGAGATTTGGGATAAAAGGCATTAGATAGGGTTTTGCGAGTAGGGTCCCAACGGAATATTCCGTAAAGTTGAAAAAAGTATTCCTTTGAAAAATTTTATTAACGAAATAATTTTAGTCAAATAAACGAAAATACTTACGCTTTAACGAAATTAGTTATTTAATTTTGATTATTTCTTATGATATTGGCGCCACAAATATTGAAATCTCTTTTTAGTTTCAAACACGTTAGCTAGAACATGAAACCTTTGTAATTAATATTATACTTACCGTTAGTAATTTTAATTAACAAGAAAATTGCATCTAACAAAAAAGATTTAATTATCACTAAAACTACCAATCCGTCAAAATGACGGAATTTAATATTTTACACATAAATTTTATTGTTATTATGTAAATATTTTTTTTTAAATTGATAATGACTTTTAATATGAAACTAAGGTACTCAAATGTTAACTATCCTCTTGTTTATAAAACCGTTAATTCTGAGGAAACGCCTTATGTATACTTATACATACCAACCCGTCAAAATGACGGAATGAATAATTTTGTTGTTATA